CGGGCAGGCTTCAGTTTTCAGTTTAGTTGGAAACCTCTCTCCCCACACACCCACACACCGGAGCTGGGGGTGCATAGAGAAACAGGCTAGTTAGAGGGAGGGGGCCTCTGTTGGGGAATCCCCTTTTCTGAATAAAAACAAAAACAAAAACCAAGCACAGGTCATCAGACTGTACCCCTGAATCTTCTTCATCCCTAGAGAGCACTGGATCCCATAGACTATCAACCTCTCTGTGGGATGGGTGAGGCAAGGACCTAGCCCCCCACCCCCTAACTCTTACTAGAAGGCCAGAATTCTTGGGTCCAGGCCAATTTCCTCCTCAATGTTCCTTAGTCTCACATTTCCAGACTTCTGGAAGGGAGGGAGGGAGGCAGCTAAAAGGTCTGCTTGCTGTCTGGGTTCACACCCCAGGCCTAGGGCCTTAGATTTATAGTTGCCAGGCTAGCAAAAGCTGTGTCTAGATAAAATCCTATGGAGAAGACTCATTTGTAGATATAACATGCTCTATTTCCCTCTCCCAGGAGGGAAAGGAGGGGGAGCCATGGTAGAAAGGTCCTCTTCTGCCATCCTCTTTTTCTCTGCCTTTGATGGTGGGCTGCGGGGAGGAGAAAGATCCTCCCCTATCCTGCTCCCACCCTTTGGGATCCACTCCAGCCCGGACAGTCACCATAGCAACAATAGACATGTGACCGCACAGGTCTCTCATAGTCGCTATGGCAACCACTGTCCCCCGTTCCCTTGGTTACCATGGGGATCTGTCACATGGTTTCCCCCCAACCTGATAACCTGTGGGTCTCCCTGCTTCTCTTTCCTTGCATGAGAACAAGAGAGCAGTCTGGGCAAGGGGAGAGCATGTGTAAGGGGGGGGGTGTCTCTTTAATCACCATGGCAACAAATCGACACCACCTGGTGACACATTCTCCTGTTGTTATGGCAACAGAAGAACATCACAGTGACATACTGCCATGTTTCCAAGGAAACAAGCCCCACCCTGAGAAGGGTGAAAGACCCTCTTAGATATTCCCCTATTTAAATCATTCTAGATTTTCCTGTCCCTTTATACTTATCTACAGAGAAGGGGAAGGTGGAGTGCAAGGCATGTTACCTGGGGGCAGGCTGGGTTGCCAAGGGGCCTACAGAAGGGAGTTTTGGTTAGGAGCCTGATGTGGGGTTGTCTGGGGGCATATTCTGACTGTCAGAGGCCCCAGTCTGGGCCTGTCAAAAGTAGAAACAGAAGAGAGGGGGCATCTCCTCTGTGGGGTCAACTTGGTTACTCCTCACATCACTGTAACCGATTTGTCAGAGCTGAGGGAAACATTGGGAAAGCATGAATGGGGAGGCACATCTGGCTTCTAGATTGGCAGATGACTGATTGGTACATTAGTCCATCCATTCATTCACTCATCCATTCATTCTTCCTCTGCACTGATCATCTGCTATGAACCACATATTACACTGGGCTCTGTAGTGTGGCTCCTTTTAAGAATGTAGCAGAGAATCCCTGCCTGCCAGGAGCCTATAGCCAGCAAAAGAGAGCCAAGCACATGGATGACTTAACTCGGTGGAGTCACTACTATTAGATGTCCAGATAAATATCCCGGAGCCCTTCTCCCTCACCATTGTTCTCACGGGCCCCTCCTAGGTGCTGCTTCTCCTGCAGAGAGGAGTGGGCTAGCTTGGAGAGCACTGACCAGTTATTAAGGGTAATTGTGTCCTTTCCCTTCCAAGTGGTGGCTTCCTCCCTGTCTCCCTCTTTTCCAGAGTGACCCCTGGCTGACCCCCATCTGGAGAGAGATCCCTTGGCTACACTCAGGGAAACAGCCCCACAAAAACACTTTCATTTCCCCCCTCTCACCTACTTCTCTGCTTCAAACCTAGGATTTTATTTTGTTTTCTTACTCTCACTTTTTAAAGGGAAGACTGAAATGTCTTAGGACTTCTAGGGTGCTAGGCACAGGTGGTGACACCGATGTGTACCCAAGAGAAAAGAGCCTGCTGACAGGAATGGGGAGGGCTTCAAGGTGGTAGAGGGAGAAGCCAAGTGTTGGAGACTCAGCAGAGTGGTGGAGGCCATCTGGGAGGATGGTTTTGGGGTCTCTGAATCTTCTTGATCATCTCGTCATGCCTGGTGGAAGCCTTCTCATTCCAGAAGCAGGGCTAAGACAGGAAGGGTTCATGGGCTCAGGGCCCTGAGTGGACTGGCAGAGCAGGCAGCAGGTTGCCGCAAGCCCTTCCTCTTTCCTTCCTAGACTCTGCTTGTCTCTGGTTTCTTTGCTCTTTCTGCCTCACCCCTATTTTTCCATGAGGAAGCTAGGTTGTCTTGTTCTTCTGTGGGGCCCAGGGCCTGGAACCTTCTTTATCTGGAGATCATCTTGCAGATCCTCATGCCAATGGGCTGAAGGTAAACCAAACCTCTCAATGCAGAGTTCCCTCTGCCCCTAGCTGCTTGGGTCTGGGTTAGAAAGTATAAGTGGTGAGGCATAGTAGCCTGGCCACATGTATGGTGCTACTGCCCACTCCATACAGCTGAGGCTTGTACCAAGGGCTGCGTCTGGCATGGGCCTTCATTCCAAAAGGCAGGAGTGTGACTAAAGGCTGAGGACTTGGAGAAGCCAGGGAGCTGGTGGTTGGAGAGAGAGCCTTGGGTTCCTGTGAAGTGGCAAGGGGCACAGGGCTTCAGATGTGGGCTTTCCTTCTGGTACCAGGGCTGTCCTGAGTCCCTGCCTGCCTGAGTAGTTGTAGTGCAGGGAAGATAATGGAGTAGACCATGAGCTTGGAAGCCTCAATCTCATCTTGGCTTCTTGAGCAACTTTGGCATATGACTTGGCTTCAGCTCTCTGGGTCTTGCTGTCCTTGGGTTGTGGGGAATAAAATGATCCACCCTGGATGCTTCATGGGGCTGTTGTGAGCAGCAATCGTGGCATTGTGTGAAAGTGCGTGGTAAACTGTAAGGCAGGCTTAATCCGACTGTAGGTTTGTGTAACACATTCGCATACATTATCTCACTTGCTTCTCACATCTACCCAGGGCGGTGGGGAGAGGAGGCTCAGATTCACAGCAAACTCACGGAGCCTGGCATTTCCACAAGCACAATCAATTCTATTCCCTACATGGCTTGTGCAAATAGTCAGGGTATTTATGGCTTCCTCTACCTTACAAATGAAGGAGATGGGGCCGGAGAGATGAAATGACCATGGTAGGCCTGGTTCCTTCCATCTCACCTCCTCGTTGGAAGGTTAGTTGACAGGTAGCGAGTGTTAGGTGTGGCATAGGAGGCACCTTCAACTCACTCTGGATACCTGTTTCCTTGACACCTGATACCTGGTTCGAGCGCATCAGCATGTTAGTCATTCTGCTCAACTGTGTGACTCTGGGTATGTTCAGGCCGTGCGAGGACATTGCCTGTGACTCTCAGCGCTGCCGGATCTTGCAGGTGAGTGTGTGTGTGTGTGTGTGTGTGTGTGTGTGTGTGTGTGTGTGTGTGTTTCTGTCTGTCTGTGTTAGAGGAAGGGGTGAGTGGTTGTTGGATTTTAAAGTCCTGAATTCTGTTCTGTCAGAAGCCCCGATCAATCCAGCTGGTGGGCATTGAGCAAGGTGGCTGTGTGCCCCATTCGCCTCACTTTTAGCAGCCTCTCCTCTCCACTTTAGGCCTTTGATGACTTCATCTTTGCCTTCTTTGCTGTGGAAATGGTGGTGAAGATGGTGGCCTTGGGCATCTTTGGAAAGAAATGTTACCTGGGAGACACTTGGAACCGGCTTGACTTTTTCATCGTCATTGCTGGGTGAGGGCTTGGGTTAGTGCGGGAGAGCATTGGGCAGGTCTCCTGCCCGTCTGGCCGTCCACTCTGCCAAGGCTGCCTGCTTGCAGTGCTCTGGTATGTCCTCTGAACCCCACAGTGTTCCTTTTGGGCCTGCTCCCCTCTGAGGAGACTGTCACTGCTTGGGGGTGTCCATGCCCCCTAGACAGAGAGTTCATCTTCAGCTTCCCTTGGTGGAGGAGAGGGAAGAGTCCTAGGTCATCCTGCCACCTCACAGCAGGATTCTTTACTGGCCTCTTTCACGTGGAGTTGGCCTCAAACTCAAAGGGCCTCCTTCCCGGCCCCTCCCCACAGGATGCTGGAGTATTCGCTGGACCTGCAGAACGTCAGCTTCTCCGCAGTCAGGACAGTCCGTGTGCTGAGACCGCTCAGGGCCATTAACCGGGTGCCCAGTGAGTGACCCCCTTAGCCCTCACCCCTGGACAGAGGGCCCTCAGAGGAAATGTGGTACATGCATCATAATCTGACCATAGGTGGAAATGGGCACTACTAGTAAGGACCCTGTCAGAGCCTCTCACCCTGGTGGTATCACTAGGAAAGCTATCTGGGAAAACCTCCACCCCCCTTATTTCAGCCAGGCTATGGGTCAGAATCTTAGAAACACCTCAGATGACCCCCTTTCTAGGAGAATAAGGGTGGGTGGGGACCAGTGGAGAGACCATCAGACCAGCAAGAGGGGACACAAATTGTTAATGGTTCTTTGGTCTTCACTGGTGCAGCCATACTGGCACTAAACACCGCTTCTCTCAAGACAAGGCCACTCCACGCCTTATCCTCCGGCTGTGGTTGCATCTCTCCCCCCCCCCCTTCTCCACCCCTTTCCAACTCTTGCAGTGACTGCTGAGACCATTATCTAAATTAAACCGCATTGGTTTCTGGAGCCAGCAAAGGTTTGGCAGCTCCAACTCCCCTGACATTCTGCCCCTCCCCCTTTGCAGGCCCCCTTTGCAATTCCTCAACCTACACAAGCTGTGGATGGTCCCCACCGGGGCCTCAGGAGGGGGTGCTGTGTGGGGGGGTGGGCGGTGTGTGTGTGTGTGTGTGTGTGTGTGTGTGAGAGAGAGAGAGAGAGAGAGAGAGAGAGAGAGAGAGAGAGAGAGAGAGATTCAGCTACCTCTGGGAGGGCAGAGCTGCTGAGTGGGGTGGGGTGGGGTGGATGGGGTGGCGAGGGCATGGTTGATGTTAACGGAGATCCAGGAGAGGGGCGTGGCTGGCCTCTTCGCCCAGGTGACAGCTGCTAGATTGATAGACCTGAGACTAACCACTGCTGTAATTCCCTTAATGTAAGCCCTGAGGAATTGATCTCAGTTGGATCTCAGAGGAACTGAAGGAGGATGGGAGGAACTGAGGGGGACAAGGACTGGCTGGCTGGTCTGGTCAGGGTAGGGTGGCTGTAGTCACCAAGAAGATTAATCAGTTACTGAGTTATTGTTTAGAACCCTAAACTCAGAGGGAGCAGGGCCCACACAGGGCACTTTGGTTCATCAGTTTGACAAGGGCTTAGGAGGTCTGGGTCTCCTAAAGGCTAGTTCAAGTATTTGGGCTATTGAGGCCTTGAACTGGAGTGAGGAAGGGGAATGGATCCCTAATGGGGCTTCTATTTGGGGGTGGAGATGCAGTGGCTTTGCCCATGGAGGGAGCATTAACTGCTATGCTCCCAAGAAGACAGAGTTGTATGTATCTCTCCAGACCTTGATTTCAAGATCTAGACCCAGCAGGGAACAGAGATGCAGGGCTGGGGGGGGGGGGGCTGGGCTCAGAAACCTGGTAAAGTGCTGGTCATCTTAGCTGCCTTCCTCCAGGAGGTTTGTCTCAGTTTCCCCAGTGGCCCCCTGGGGCCATCATTTAGGAAGGTCAGGTGACTGTGTCTGGTGAGAGAAGGAAGTGGGAGGTGTGTGTGGTGTGTGTGTGTGTGTGTGTGTGTGTGTGTGTGTGTGTGTGTGTGTGTGCCTGTGCCTTGAGGAGCAGGATTTGGAAGCACAAAAACCTAAATTTAAGTCCTGGCACCTACATTTAGCAGCTCCCATCCTGGCATCTCACGTCACTTCTGTGAGCCGAGCCTCAGACTTCTCATCTGTAAATTGGGGGTGATATCATCAGCCCTGTGGTGACAATGGGAGAGTGAGGTGGGACTCAGAACCTGAGAGGGCTTTGGAAACCACAGTTACTCTGCGTAGGTGTTGGTACCAGGTGGACTGAGGGAACTTCAAGGGCTGCCTGGGGAGTTAGGTTTGTCTGCCAGTCCCCCCCACCCCACCTTAAATTGGTCCATCTAGTTTCCCCAGTGGGCCCTTGTGGGGAAGACTGCCAGGCCTGTGGCACTCTGCCTGGCTGGACCAGACTGGAACCCCCAGCATGGCTCTTCTGCCCCCACAGGCATGCGTATCCTCGTCACATTATTGCTGGACACGTTGCCTATGTTGGGCAATGTCCTGCTGCTCTGTTTCTTCGTCTTTTTCATCTTTGGCATCGTCGGTGTCCAGCTATGGGCAGGGCTGCTTCGGAACCGATGCTTCCTCCCTGAGAATTTCAGCCTGTGAGTGGTGGACCCGGTGGGTGATGGACTGGGGGGCTGTGGACCTCTCTTAGTCCCTGGCTTTCTGTTGCCATGGATATAAACCTTCTCACACCCGACTTGCATTTGGCTCTCAAACCTAGCTACACATTGGAATAACCTGGGACATTGTAAATGCCTGATACCGTGGTATGCCTTTCAGAGACTCCCATTGTACTGACCTTCAGTGCAACTTGGATCTAGGCATTTAAAAAGCCCTTCAGAAGGCAGGCACAGTGGTGTACATCTTCAATCTCAGAACTCTGGAGAAAGGGTAGGGTGAATCTGAGTTTCAGGCTGGCTTAGTCTACATAGTGAGTTCCAGGCCAGTCAGAGGAGATGCTTAGTGAGACTGTGACTCCAGAGAAAGAAGGAAATGGGTGTGGGAGGCGGGGAGGGGGAGAGACTCCTTGAGGGCTAGGGATGTAGCTCAGTTGGTAGAGTGTTTGCCTAGTATACTCAAAGCCCAGAGTTGAATCCCCAGCACCCCATAAACTGAGTGTTGTAATGCTCAACTGTGATCCCAGCACTCAGGAGGCAGAGACAGGAGGATCAGAAATTCATAATCACGTGGCTATATGGAGTTTGAAGCCAGCCTGGAATACATGGAAAAGGATGGCAAAGAGATGGGGGTGGGGTAGAGAAAACTCTTCCATGGTTTCGACTTGCAACCAAGTCAGGAAACTACTGCCCTATTGTAGACCTCTGGACTCTGGAGTTCCCTACCAAGTTCTCACGTTCCTCAGTACTCCCATCCCTGTCCACAAAACCCTGTTCTGTCCAATCTCCTCTTCCCCTTTAGGTCTGGCTTATTCTCTCTGTTCCTCGGTGTATACACACCAGCCTTTTCTTCCTTGGCTTCTCTGTGGAAAACCTACTCTCCAATCCCCTCTCTCTCTCTCTCTCTCTCTCTCTCCCTGCAGCCCCCTGAGCGTGGACCTGGAGCCTTACTATCAGACAGAGAATGAAGATGAGAGTCCCTTCATCTGCTCCCAGCCTAGGGAGAACGGCATGCGGTCCTGTAGGAGCGTGCCCACACTGCGTGGGGAAGGTGGTGGTGGCCCACCCTGTGGTCTGGACTACGAGGCCTATAACAGTTCCAGCAATACCACCTGTGTCAACTGGAACCAATACTACACCAACTGCTCTGCAGGCGAGCACAATCCCTTCAAAGGCGCCATCAACTTTGACAACATCGGCTATGCCTGGATCGCCATCTTCCAGGTGGGGCCACGTGGGCCCTGGGGTGTTTCCCAGAACAGTCCCAGGACACAGCATAGACTGGGAGCGCTTATCCTCTGGGTTAGGGTGGTGGCCAGGGCCTTGGTGGAGGAGGCTGAAGGAGGCTATCGTGGCCCCAGCCAGAGTCAGCTGTCCCTCTTGCCTCCTCAGGTCATCACACTGGAGGGCTGGGTCGACATAATGTACTTTGTGATGGATGCTCATTCCTTCTACAACTTCATCTACTTCATTCTCCTCATCATCGTGAGTGACTCCTTCAGCCCTCATGGGAATGGGAGGTAATGGGGATGCAGATGGAGCAGTGAACAGAGGGCAAGTCCTTAGCTCTCAGGTCCTATGAAGGTGATGGCATTTGTCATGCCGTGGGAAGGATACGGGGTGGGCCAGGAGAAGCCCAAGACTCTACCACTTACTACTGTTAGGACCTTTGCAAGTCATCTTCTTTGAGGCCCTAGCCCCACTATAGGCTTCTGATTCTTCACCCATAAAATAGAGGGTTCTCAACCCACAGTGTGTCATCACCTTCCCTAGGGGTGCCCAGAAATGGCCAAGTGTGGTTCTGACTTCATGAGCTCTAGGGGAGCCCTGCCAGCATTCTGTTGGAAAAGAGAAAGATGTTAAGCATCCTGAAATGCTTGCAAGCAGAGAACCGTACATCCAGAATTCCAATCAGCATTGAGAAATACTTGTGAGATCTCTTATTCCTTCCAGCTCTGAAATTCCAAGGCTTTCTGAAAGCAGAAGACAGACCAAAGCATCATTTAATCATTTTAATCACTACCAGTCATAGTAGATGCTTTCATGGCTACCACTTACAGCTGATATTTATTGAGCACTTACGGTGTGCCAGCCATTGCACCCTGAGGGTTGGGCATTTCATCCTCCCCATGATCTCATTGCCACCTTTGTGTTTCCAAGCAAGGAAAATGACTTTCCTTCATTTATCTTCCCCCACCATGTGCCTTACCTAAGCTGCAGATCAGTCTTGCCGGGGAGGTCTGTCAACAACAATGTTGCTGTTCTTCCTTATATGCCGCTGTGATGTGGCCAGAGCTCCAAGGCATTGGCCACTGGTCCAAGATCATGTAGGAAGTCGGGACTAGAGCTGAGACGTCAGCTCCAGGTTACCAGCTCCAAATCCAGCCCTTTCGTTTTCCCATGTCACCAAGAGGACAATGCAGAGCCAGGTGGAGGGTCAGATACTGACAGAAGGAGATTAAGAATGACATTAAAGCTAGGCGTTGGTGGCACACACCTTTAATCCCAGCACTTGTGAGGCAGAGGCTGGTGGATCTCTGTGAGTTCGAGGCCAGCCTGGTCTACAGAGTGAGTTCCAGGACAGCTAGGGCTACACGGAGAGAACCTGTCTCGAAACACCTAAAAAAAAAAAAAAAAAAAAAAAGAGATTAAGCTCACTCAGCACAAGTTTAGGAGAGATGGAGACAGAATGAAGCTCTGGGAAAGGTTATGTTCCCTAGGTTACCATAACTTTCCCAGGTGTGAAAGAATGGCCAAGCTTGGAGCAAAGCTTGGCTGGGGACCTTTACCATCCCTGACCATTACCACAGTGGTGAAGCAGGTACTTCAGGGTAGCGGCTCATCTGATAATTGTTGCTGTCCTCAGGCTTGCTTAGGTGGGGGAGGGGTAGACAGGGACATCAGGGGCCTAGTTTCCACTCTCCCACACACCTCCTGAAAATTCTTCCCAAACAGCTCTCTGGAATCACACTAGTGAAGTTAATTATCATAATTACTAGGACATGAGGTAGAGAAAAAAAAATGTCCGCTTTGTCACCATAAATATTTATTTCCATCATTCAGGCTTGTTGTCTAAGCAATAGGTTACTCAGGGTCCTGGGGAAACTGAGGCATGGAGATGGGGGCTGGGGAAGGATGGGCAAGTCAGAATGATGGCTTTGTTAGTCTGTAGGGCCCCCTTTTCAGCTGGGGATAGTGAAGTCCCATGGCTGAGTTGCCCCCAACGTCATTCAGCTAGACTTGAAACAAGTGGGAGAGTTATAAGTAAATCTCCAAGTTGAAGGTTTTCTGTTGCCAGTATTTCATGAACTGCTACAGCATTCTCTCCCACTAGAAACTGGGGAGACAGATGCCTTAGACTCTCCATGCATATGCACTTAAAGGCTGGGATTTGGGCGGTATCTCCACAGTATGCTGTCACCAGCAGTAGCAACACCCTGAACTTGCATGGGGCTGGGTTTCAGTTCTGCTTAACTTGGTCTGTATCAGCTGAATGATCTTGGGCTAATTTCTTGACCAATCTGCACTTCAGCTTCTTCAGTGCTCTGATGGAAAGTACAAAAGTGCCTGCTCCCAAATTATCATGACAATAAAATGGGGTGGCACCTGGCCAATTGCAAACCCCATGTCTGGCCCACAACGAATTCATTGATTGTGGCAGCTGGCATCAAGATTCGCTTTTCTTCAGGACATCTCCTCTTTCTGTCCCCACCCCTGCAGGTGGGCTCCTTCTTCATGATCAACCTGTGCCTGGTGGTGATTGCCACACAGTTCTCTGAGACCAAACAGCGGGAGAGTCAGCTGATGCGGGAGCAGCGTGTGCGATTCCTGTCCAACGCCAGCACCCTGGCAAGCTTCTCCGAGCCAGGCAGCTGCTATGAGGAGCTGCTCAAGTACCTGGTGTACATCCTCCGCAAATCAGTCCGCAGGCTGGCCCAGGTCTCTAGGGCTGCAGGTGTGCGGGCTGGGTTGCTTAGCAGCCCGGTGGCCCATGGTGGTCAGGAGTCCCAGCCCAGTGGCAGCTGCTCTCGCTCACACCGTCGTCTGTCTGTCCACCACCTCGTGCACCACCATCACCACCATCATCACCACTACCACCTGGGTAATGGGACGCTCAGAGTTCCCCGGGCCAGCCCAGAGATCCAGGACAGGGATACCAATGGGTCTCGTCGGCTCATGCTGCCACCACCCTCTACACCCACTCCCTCGGGGGGCCCTCCGAGGGGTGCAGAGTCTGTACACAGCTTCTACCATGCTGACTGCCACTTGGAGCCAGTCCGTTGCCAGGCACCCCCTCCCAGGTCCCCATCGGAGGCATCTAGCAGGACTGTGGGTAGTGGGAAGGTGTACCCCACTGTGCACACCAGCCCTCCACCAGAGATGCTGAAGGATAAGGCACTAATGGAGGTGGCCCCCAGTCCTGGGCCCCCCACCCTCACCAGCCTCAACATCCCACCTGGGCCCTTCAGCTCCATGCACAAGCTACTGGAGACACAGAGTACGGGTGAGAGCGTGAGTGGGTGTGCTGGGACCCCACAGTCGGAGGCTGGGTGGTAATCTAGAAGACTAGGGGTCTAGAGTGTGAGGATCCAGGGCCCGGAGCCTAGTTTCTCATGCTGCTTCTCGTAGCCCTGGCATCTTTTGAGCCCTAATTGTTTCATCTGTTCAAATGGGAACGGCAATTATTGCATATATTACTACAATGTAGGAGTAACGATAGTTGTCACACACGCATACCTATCGTGTGCTGCACTCCATGCCTTTGGCCCTAACATCCAACAACTGCTGCCTGATGGCGTGCCTGTCACATGCTTTGCAGGCAAGATCTGCTTGAGTCCTCTGGACAGGTTGGTAATAAGCTTGCATGCACCCTTGCTGTGTGCATAGAAAAAAAAAAAAAAAGGTGGCTAAGAGTGTTGGTGAGTGTGACCTCAAGACCATCTGACTCTGCAGCCCACTCTGTCCTTTGTCCCAAGGCTCAGCGGGGGAAATGGTGTGTGACTGTGGCAGTCTGGTGCCTCACAAGGTGACTGCTGTAAACAGAGAGACTTGGAGCAGGAGTGCTGAAAGCAGCCAGCCTGTGGGTGGAACATCGGTGACCTGGGGGATTGTGATGCTTGCCGCTTGTAGACTGGCTACCATGCAGACACAGCCTGGGACCTGTGTTTCAGGGAGGATGTGGTGACAGAAAGCAAGGGGATATGTGAGATGTCCCCTGGGAGTGTGTGTGTAGAAGTGTCACCACAGAGCACAGAGTGAAAGGCTAGCTCTCCCGCAGCCCTGCCATGGGTGTGGACCAGTCACGTCTCAAACACAGGCTTCCATTTCCCACTGGGAATGGGTGGGAGTGAAGCTATCACTACTGTGGGAGCTTACCAATGGCCTGTGGTATACAAATACATCCAGGAGGGGAACATAGCATTTTGTCTCTACCAGGGGTCAGACCTTGAGCCAAGGACCTCCTGGCACTTGCTTTACCTGAGTAGTCTTTGATGTGTCATTCATTTCTCATATTCTGTGAGCAAAACAATTTAAATTTAGATGGACAAGGGATGTCTTGAGACACATCCCTGTGTGTATTCAGAACACATCTGGTATACAATGTGTGCTTGTGGGCATTAAAGAAGCGGCGGGGGTGGGGGGTATTCCATGTGTGTATGTGTATGTGGGGGTACAAGTGTCAGGATTTACATGCATTTGGGTTTGGTGCTCCTTCCTGGTTCCTGCACATGCACATATGTGGGTCTGGTATATGAACATTGGATGGCATGAATGTGTTTGGGTACATGTGTGTGTGTGTGTGTGTGTGTGTGTGTTTGTGTGTATGTGTGTGTATTGTGGTGTACAGATTGCATGTGCTCACTATACATATGCACAGTATGTGCATGTAATGTGTTTTATGTGAGTCTGGTATGTGTGATGAGAAGTGCGCATGTGTGGGTGGGTCCCAAAGATCCCCTGGGAAATGCTACTCAGCACTGTGTGGGTACAGGCCTACCCTCTAGGGAGAGGAGATGGTCTGGGCTCCTGACAGAAAGCTCCTAAGACATAGCACATAGTTCCATAGGACATAGCTGCACAGGATCACAGAGGACATGGTGGCTACCTCTCTACCTCAATCCTAGGATCTTCAGAAGTGACCATCAATGGGGGTGCTATTGAAATTGGGTTATTTTGTTATTCAGGGACACCCCATTCACTAAGTGCCTAGCATACCCGTCAATGTAACCCCCAGTCTCCTTCCCACAGGCTCTACATCCTCCTAGGGCAGGCGAGCTCCTGGTGAGCATCTTGATCCTCTAACACCTACTCTTTTGTTCCAGGAGCCTGCCATAGCTCCTGCAAGATCTCCAGCCCTTGCTCCAAGGCAGACAGTGGAGCCTGTGGGCCAGATAGTTGCCCCTACTGTGCCCGGACTGGGGCAGGGGAGCCAGAGTCTGCTGACCATGAAATGCCTGACTCAGACAGTGAGGCTGTGTATGAGTTCACACAGGACGCTCAGCACAGTGACCTCCGGGACCCCCACAGCCGGCGGCAGCGCAGCCTGGGCCCAGATGCAGAGCCTAGTTCTGTGCTGGCTTTCTGGAGACTCATCTGTGACACATTCCGGAAGATCGTAGATAGCAAATACTTTGGCCGGGGAATCATGATCGCTATCCTGGTCAATACACTCAGCATGGGCATCGAGTACCACGAGCAGGTAAGGATGCAGCCCAGGCTGGCTCCAGATAATTGCTTCTTCCCTAGGGTGGATTTCTCTTTGTGTTGAAGTGTCTGGGAGAAGGGGTTGGAGAGAGGAAGTGATGGGTAGGGTCTCTAGAGGGTGAGCACAATGATTGCCACATGCTTTCTGAATTTGAAGGTTGCCCAGGTGGGAGCAGGTATGTTCTGTCTGAGAAGACATCTCAGAAGAGGGAAGCTTTATGTGCATGAGTAATGAGCATCACATATAGCAATAAGCCACCAGAAGAGACTTGGGTCTTTGGAGAAGGCAAGGCAGGCAGGAGATGTTTTATCTCAGTAAGTAGAGGGTGATTGACAGGCAAAAGGGCCATTCAGGTAGAAATGAAAAATTGGCTGTGTTGAGTGGCGATGCCTGAGAGAATATCAGGGTGCAGTCGCAAGGCAGTCTTGGCATGGCCTCAGGTCAGAGCCTTGTTGTGAACCAGGGTGGCTCTGGGCAGATAAGAGTGCCCAGAATGGCCAGGTGGCTAGAAATCTTGGAGTTTGAGGAGCTTCTCCAAGGAGCAGGGTGTTTAGTCAGGAGAAGAGGCTCAGCAGGGACGGTGAGCTGTCTTCAAATATTTGAAGGACTGTCATGTGGAAGAGGGAAGCTTGTTCTGTGGGTCAACGGCTGCCAGCTTCAGATCTGGGCTTAGAGGAGGAAGCTACCTCCACGCTGTGCAGATGGAAGGTGTGGCAGAGTGGAGGGACTGCACTGGCCTGGGCTGTCTCAAGAGGTTGGCCAGGAGTGATGCGTGTAGGTCCTTCCATGCTTTTCTCCCTTACACTGTTCATCTGGGTGCTCTTGCCAACCAGGGGCAGCAGTTGGGGGGCGAGGCTGGCCACCAGAGCCTCTCTTTTCCTGGTTTGGAAATGAGCATGTGGACCCCTCGTTCCAGATCCCCATGCCGAGACAGAGGCATTGAGAGCTTGTGACAGTCCAGCACAACATTGGAGGGGTGTCTCAACCAGTAGGGGTGTAGCTGGAGCGTATGAAGCCAGCAGAATGTTCACTCTTCAGAGGGTTCCAAAGCCCCCGTAGCCTCACCCCACTGACCTCTGACCTGGAAATGTCATGAGCATTTGGCTGTTACTTAAATTGCTCTGTCTGGCCAGGCACACCCGTCGTTTATCATATCTCATTGGCTCCATCCTCTCTTGTTTGAAGGACCCAATGTGGAGCAGCTATGGCATGCACTAACTGTTCTTCCCCTATGTCAGTGAGGTGTGTGTGTATGGGTGGAACCACACACCAGCTGCAGTGCCAGTGGGTGGGCATGCATGGCACTGGGTGGGCGTGTTGTGTCTGGGCTGCGTGGGGTGTGGGCATATATGCACAGGTTGGCTCTGCCAGCCTCCTGCAGAGAGGTACTCTACTCTGCCAGGTGGCTGGGGGAGAGCGGGGACAGAATTTTCTCCTTCTGTGACCCAAGAGATGACATCCCTAATCTCTACCACCATGGATCCCTTAGCCTGAACTGCTACTTTCTCTGTTTTACTTGGTGCCGGTTGTGCCAATCCCACTCTCCCAAGGGAGCCCATTTTTGGTGCCCTTCCCTCTCCCCTGGGGGAGGAGGTGGGTGCACCTAGCAGTCCCTGATGGGCCAGATGCTGTTGGTGGAGGCTTTGATTGCACTGGGAAGAAGCTGAGTCACACAGGCTGAAGGCAGATGAAGCTGCAGCAAGAGGACTTTCGGTTAGATGTCAAGAAGGATGCCCCTTTTGGAAAGGGAAGAAACTTCATTAGCTGAGGAGCTTCCAGCATCTCCTTACCCACGTTCCTGAGGAAAGAGGAGACAACCCTAGCTCCCCCTGAGCCCTCAGAAGCCCACATTTTGAGCTGGCAGCATCTGCTGTAGGGATAAGTTTGTCCTAGTACCTGGTTGCTGAGGGCCCCATGAGAGTGAGTGGGAGTCCCCAGCAGGCTGGGCGGATGACTGGTTGCTGCCTGGCAAGCTCAGAGGGTAGGGAGGGTGGCATAAAACCCCAGAAGCTGCCATGGTCCTGTGCTTGCAGGCACTGTGGCGTGAATGTCCCACCATCTGGGCCCCTGGGGGGGGTAAGGAGAGTGAGAATGTATGTAGGGCTGAGAGACAGTGATACAGGGGGGCTTAGAGGGGAGGCAGGAATGGGACAGATGCATCGAGGGAAAGATGGAGCTCCAGGGAGGAAGGGGACAGAAAAGACAGAGGCGGAGATGTGGAAGGAAAGACAGAGATTCAGGGCAAGAGACCGAGACAGACATAGATTTCGAGGGACAGAGGAAGACAGAAAGGACACTGAAGACAGAGACAGAGGTCCAGATGCAAAGGAGGACAGGGATGGGGCAGGGAGGGGGAGCTCAGGATTCAGATGGAGCTGACTGCAGGGGAAGTGGAGCTGATTGGAAGGAAGGTTCCGCAGATGCTGCTGCGGTGGCCCCAGGCTCCTGCTTTCCCTGCGGGGCTCTTAATGAAGTGATTGCATCCATCAAGTCTGGTATTGATCAGCTTGGGGAGCCCTGCAGAAGGAATTGCTGTGAGTGTAGCCCCAGCCCTCTGTCTCTCTCCAGGTGCTGTCACTGCCATCTACTTTGCTTGTTGTTCAGTTTTGTTGCTGAGGACAATGCCTGTCCCTTCCACCTACCTCTTGATGGGGAAACATCATTTTGTTATATCTCCCCAGACCCCTAAGGCTGGGACAATGTTCGCATCAACAGTCTTCTGATTCCCCTACCCCTTAACCACTTGTCAGCAGTATTGGTGTGCCCAGAAACAAATAGTGAGAGGGACAAGGATTCAGGACACTGAGAAGTCCCTGAGCAAGAAAAATGGCATAGTGTGACTATAGGATGAGAAAGGCATGAGTCCCACCAACAAGGGCCAGTGCAGGGAGTCCAGAAGGATGAATTACCCATCCATCCATTCCATTTTATTCCATCCACTCATCCACTCACCCACCCATGCATCCATCCATACATCCACCCACCCATCTATTCACCCATCCATCCACCCATCTATTCACCCATCCATCTATCCATCCATCCACCCACCCATCTATTCACCCATCTATCCATACATCCACTCACCCATCTATTCACCCATCCATCCATCCATCCATCCATCCATTTGCCCCTCCCAGACATCAATCTGTTCACCATTCCATCTATTCACTTATCCATCCATCCATCTATTCATCCACCTGCGCATCCATCCATTCCACACATGTACCCTATGTGTCAGAGTTGGGCTTATGCAGTGGTGCTGATAAATGTTTATCAAGTAGCTCTCAATAAAACAAAATAAACCAGGCCTGATGATGCTGGCCATCTTGGCTGCTCAAGAGGCTGAGGCAGGAAGATTGAAAGTTCAGTGCCAGCCTTCACAATTTACTGAGATTCCGTATATAAAAATTTAAATATTTGCTTATTTATTTTATGTATATATGTGCATTCTTGGGTGGATGTTTGTTTATCGTGTATGTGCGGGAGCTCATGGAGGTCAGAAGCGTCAGATCCCTTGGAACTGGAGTTATAGGAGATTTTGAACTGCTGTGAGGGTTTTGAGAACCAAACCTGTGTCTTTGCAAGAGCAGTAAGTGCTCTTAACAGCTGAATTGTTTCTCTAGTCTGCAAAAAAAAAAAAATTTAAGTATAGGAAGACTGAGAATATAGTTCCAGAGTAGAGTGCTTGCCTAGCATACCCTAGGCCCGAGTTTCAAACTCTAGTGCTACAGAAACAAACAATCCCAACCTAACTTGCTAGTTTCCATGGTGTAAACACTCCCACCATAGCCAAGTCCCTGGATGTGGAGTTGGAAAGGAGTGGACCCTGAGCTCAGTCTGAAGGGCAGGCAGGGTGCAGCCATCCAAGGGTGCAGCAAGGCGCCAGAGGTACCAGACACTAAAACCTAAATGTGGGCATTCAGAATGAGTGGGGCACTGGATATGGGCTGTGTGAACAAGTGACAAGAGATTAAATTGGGAAAAACTCTGGCCAGATCTTGAGAGGCTCAGGAAGGAGTTTGGCTTGTATTGATAGGTTCTTAGAGAAGATTTATAGCAGGTCATATGACCAGGTTTGTGTTTTATCAGAAGCTTTCTGGAAGCCATGAGGGAGTAAAGGGGAAGAGAGAGGTGTTGCTGCAGTGGTCAGTGCTCTATTTTTGTTCCTGGAGACAAAAAGGAGGGAGTTGGGGAGGGCCGACAGGTAGCCAATTCTTCAGGCTTAGCACCAGGTAGCCATTAGGAGAGCGGACAGCAAGGATGACCCCGAGCTTCCAGTGGGAAGCAGGGGCTTGAGATGATAGCTGGGAGCCAAGAAGTGGGTCTGTGCCCTGTGTCCCATCTGAGACCTCTCTGTGAGTTGGGGTCTTGGAGTCACAAGCTAATTGTCCCTTCTTGGTTCTGAATCCAGCAAAGGCAGGTAATAGCCACTTGTTTTAGAAGCAAGATGGCAGCATATAGGGCTAAAAGCACCAAAGAACAGAGAGAGTCTGGAGTGGTTGGCCTTTTAGGCCAAGGGAGGACAGGATAGGGACAATTCTGTTTGTCACCAGTGTCTGGACCCATCCTGTCACTGTAGATATATGTCCAGAGAAGGTTTCTATTTATAAGTGATTGCGGTTGGTTCACAGTAAGGGAAGTGAGGGTAAGACGGGGGTGAGGTCCACTGTGGCATAGCTGGACTGTTGAAGGGTTATCACAGACTCCTTTTTGGGTTCTGTTGAAAGCTGGGGACATTCTCTCTTCAGACACAGACATGCCACATAGATATTCCAAATGTGGCATTTGAGGGCAAGGCTTTATGGATGCCTTCTACCTCGGGCTGGCCTTTGGTTTCCAGATTGTAGACCAGGGGCTATGGGCCTAGCAAGACTTTGGGCAACAATTCTTTGATGGCTGACCTGGCCTCATGTTTTCAAGGGGTATTGGATAAGGGTAGTAAAAAGGGTACTGTTTGGAGCCATTAGGCTGTGTCATTTTAGGCATCCCCTGGC